TGACAATTCAGAGAACTATTTTTCTGGTCCTCGTTTTGATGTGCACTAATGCTGAACAGACTTTCCTGCCATTGCTTCCTCCTGTGTTCTGAAGGGTTAGTTAAGCCAGTTATGCTTTTGCTAGGTGTTCTCTTAACAGGAGTTTTGGGGATCCTAGCGATTTCTCCAAGCGTTGCATTCCGGTAGGTCAGCCAACACTCATGATGCCGTTCAGATCTTGTTCTGCTATTTGTGGCAAGCAGTAAGAAAACAGGAGTGTACAATTGTCCTTCACTTCCCTAAGACTGTCCAGGAGGGTGAAAAAATAGATCTTTTGAAAAAAGGAAATATGTTTGGGCGTAATAAAGATCCTCTAGAAAGTCAGACTATAAGACACTTACCTAGAGCTTTGTCCCTTAAAGTAGAAGTGAGACTGTGATGGGACCAGTTTGGATGTAGCATGTTGTGAGCAGAGCTGCAGGACTGCATTCTCCTGAATGATACCTTGCTGAATCATAAGCTGACCCACACTTTCCAAAGTACAGAAGAAACGTTGATCCATTAAATCACAGCCTGACAGCTTGTCTCTTTCACCAGCTCTGTACCTACACCTGTCTTTTTTTCTTCGGTCTACTTTTTTTGTCATCTGCTCGCCAGATATCCTGCAGTTTCTAGTTGTGACAGTTAGGTGTGAGTTACTTTGTGAGTCTGGGATAGGGTGTGTTTGTACAGCATTTTGTGTAGCTCCATTCTTGCTGTCCTCTACAATCCCTGTGTATATACAGATCAAATAGGGATTTCTGGGTGAACTGGAAACAAATACTTCCAAAACTCCATTAGCACCAGTGAGTTGCTCCCAGTTCACTTCACTTTTTCAGGAAATCCCTGCCACAGGAACTTTTGGTGGTGATTCATGTGGTTGAACTGACTGTCTAAGGGGAGGCCTGGACTCACATGGTGAATCCATGCTTGCAAAGTACTTCAGAAGTATAGGAGGAATTTGATTCCCTCAAATCTCAGTTGCTGTTTAAACTTGCATTATATTCAGGTTGATAGTGGTATGGTATGTACACAGATGTTTTCCCAGTTTCTCAGTTAAGGCACTGATTCAGCAAAGTCATCTAGCACATGCACTGTATCAAATATGTAAATAGTGCCTGTAAAACCCATGCTGAATAAATAAGGGGAAACTCAAATAATTGAAGAGAAAATACATTTGTGTAGGGTAAGCTCATTCTGAACAATGAGCACATTTAAAATGAATTGGATTTTTCCAAGCCTTTCTCTCTGTCTTTGGCTATGATTTTTTTTTAATTCTAAGAGTGTGATCAGGAATGGCAGGGTCAGATTGATTGTCCTCATGTCTGTAGGCAGTTTTTCACAAACATTTAAGTCAGACCTCCCCTTGGCAGATGGTCTTTCAGATTTCTGTGGTGCAGTGGGAGAGGTATTCTATGGTCTGTACAGCACTGCAGGCTGCCCTAAGAATTCACTGTTGGAGAAGGAATAGTAAGGAGGTCAAGCAGTTATTGATAAGCATATGTGGGCTACTGAGGTCAGAATTGGGGGCCTCCCACTGAGGCAGCCTGCAGAGGATTGTGCTGCTGGAGAAGCCACTCCTCTTCACATTAGAAAATCTCCCAGGAAAGAGAACAAGAAGAAGGGAAGGAGAAGAAAGAAATAAGGGGATTTTGTGATTGAATTTCATTTGTATAAAGGTACAGCAGGTTAACAAATAGGAGAATTTCAGCGGGATTAGTGTCTGATATTTTAACACCTTCAGATGTTTTTGTAGTTTGAAGTAAAGTCATTTTTTCAGATGGAGTACATTTCCCTTCAATTTAAAAGATGTTTACTACTGCTGAAAACAGTGTTTACAATAGTGGCATGAGGATAAAGCAAAATAAAAAACACTAGAAAATTTTTATTAAAGAAATGAATCTTCTCAAGTGCTCTCTAAAGCAGAAATGCACATATCTTGTAAGTGACAACTGTTGGATTTCTTGTCTTCTTTATGACAAGGGTTGTTTAGACTACCCCACAAAAATGAAGTTAAAACCCTTGTCAGATAATCTGCAATGAATATTCTTTATATTGAAATGTTGGAGAAGGAATAGGCTCAGAACCTCCTTAATTTACTTGGAACCTATTCTTTTTCCAACATTTATCTTTCTCAGTCATCTCCAATTACAGCAGAGCAGAGATCAGAAGCCAGCTGTTGAGGTTACTCTTCTGTGCGGGGTAGTGATGGCAGAGTGAGAAATAAACTATGAGCTGTGACCAAAGGCAGACTTGTAATTACTTGAATATAATGATAATTGGCCTTAATACTGTAACAAATGCTCTGAGTTTGCACATGCAAACTCTGCAGTTTGGATCAATTTTCTTGTTTACAAAATCAGCTTGCTTTTATTAGCACCAAAATTGCCCAGTAACAGAATGGTGAATAATCAAATGTGGTTCACTGCAAAAGAAAAGGAAAAAAATACTGTACATGGTTAGACAGTGGATCTAAATAGGTTCCTATGTAGGGCTGGAGTTTAGAGGGGAAAGGGTTTGAGTGAGAATGAGAAGTGTTGGTTCACTTTATTAATACTGTTTGAGAGATCTGTTGTTTTCTCCTCTTACCTGGTGTAAGTTTAGACTCCTAAACTCAGGATGCAAAAGGACTAGAATAAACAGCCTGACAACAGTTGACACCAAACCTCTATCACACACAGTTGTGTACAAAGTTGATTTACCCTGCTTGTAAATACTTAGCACGCGGAGCAGCTTTCAGTGTTTGAAGATCCATTTTTGTCAGCCTGAAACTGGGACATGAACTTTCTCATAAAATACAGGTGTCCATTCCCCCCATGTTAAGACTACATCCTTGGTTCTCTCAGCATGAATTATGCCCATTTCTAGTTGTTTAACACCCTGATCGGAGAGCAGATGAGACAGTTATTCCTGTTGTTGCTGATTTACTGTTACAGCTGCTTCCTCTTCTTGTGATTTAATTTGAAGTTTCAGCCCACCAGGGGGCTAATGGTCCCCACCTATGCAGTTTTAAAAGCTCACTGTTGTTTTCCACTGGAACATTATTTCCATTCCTAGCCAGTGATTTATTTTTTTCCTCAGTGTTAATCTGGTAACTGTGAGGCAGTATTCCATTAGCCATTTTCATAAAAAAAACAAAAAACAAAACCAAAACAAAACAAACCCCACCAAACCCAAAACTCATGCAACTATTTAGACTGAAAGCTTAAAAATGAGAATTACTCTGTTTTGCAGTGTTCTCCTGGCTATTGGAGACTCATATAAAAAAAACCAACAGGACATTAGGCATGATTGAGATCCTTTGTTTCTCTTATTTTTAAAAAGTATCCTATAAATCACTTCTTTTTTTCTATATCTCAGGAAAATATAGGGCAGGCGGCAAACCCTAGAGTATGTTTCATGGTGTGGTACTGCCTGTGGTGAGATGAATTCCAAAAACATTAGCAACTGCAGTGGAATCCAAGGTGTGATTGTATACTGCTAGCAGATTCTGCATACCTGATCAGGCATAGGGGAGCTCAGACTGAGTGTGACTACAAAGTTGTGACTGCAAGCTGCATAACCAAAGAGCAGTATGTCAGGAATGCTTTCCACCAGACTTCTTACAAGAACAGAATTATACGTCTCTCTCATTAACTTATTCTTGAAGCAAAACTTAAGAAGTATTGAGCTTCTTGGTTTACCTTGATTTTTAAGTATTCTTAGTTCTAAATAATAAATGGCCTTGAAAACTTTTCTGAACAAACAAAATTAACTGTGATGCTCAGCATAGCCCGCTGTCCACCTTTATTGTTATAGTGTGAGTTTAAAAGTGCCAGTCTTGAGTTCACATTTTTGCAAAGCTTCTGGTTTTCTAGGTTTGTTACTTTTTATGTGATTAAAGTCTGGGTATGTGTTTGTTTTCCTCATCTTAAGTATATATTTGTAACATAAACATTTATATTTTGCAATACATACTCTGCTGGTCCAAAGAGTGCTTTGATGAATTACACGTCTTGTAGTAGTGTTTGGATGTTTTCTTTACTGGTTCATCATTGATATTAGAAATTTAACTCTTCACTGAGTTTATGGTATCTCATCTCACTGGGAATCACAGGAGTCTTCTTCCCAGCCACCCTGTTTTCGATGGCTTATTTCTTGCTTTGGGGTGGTGAGGAGGGAGAGGGGGATTGCATTGCAAAAAGGATGGAAGCTGGGCAGACTGATAAAAAGAGGCTGCGTGAAACCTCATTGCTTTCGACTATTATTAAAGGGTGGTGCAATCTTTCCCCTCTTTGAGCAGGAGGATAGTATTACCAAATATCAGTGTTCAAGGTCACTGCTTTTTACAATATAAATCAAATATACTACTTCCTAAAGCCCTGATTGATGGAAAATAAAGTATTAACTGCCCAGAAACAGGTTTTCCAACACTATCACTCAATTATGCAGTGGTCACTAACCTTTTCAGGACAACCTTAATATTGCATTGCTAATTGTATAATTTAAAGAATACAGGTTTTTAATAGTTATTCCAGGAGGATTATTAATCACTGTGCTTTAGAGCAATTTTTGCTTATTGGAAGCTTACCAGTTAATAAGTTAACTACTAGTAACAACCATTAATGCAAACTCTTTGCTTGGGTAATGTAACTTGTGGTGTTCAATGAATTAGACTCAAAAAATAGAGCAAGTACGAAACTTGACTGCCTTGCTGTAGAGGCAGCACAGAATTAGTCATCGGCTGTGAATGTTAATCACTCCACAGCAATGATAATTTACAGCATTGTTGTAGCACTCTTGTGCTCATAAAATGAACTTAATAACCCACTGCTACCCCTGGGATAAGCCTTCCTTCTCCTTCCCTCCCCCTTGCAATTGAATACCCAGTCTGGCTGCATAATAGCCTTGTGAAATACTGCATTAGAAAGAGTGAGCAGCTGTATGATAAAATAAACAGCTCTAAAACAGATTTGTTAATTATCTCTTTCTTTTATTCACAGAGGGTGTTTGTGAGATATGGCTGACCAGTGAAGACACAGGGGCTTACGGCAGAGATATTGGCACAGACCTCCCTACGCTTCTGTGGAAGCTGGTTGAAGCTATTCCTGAGGGAGCTATGCTGAGGCTTGGCATGACAAACCCTCCCTATATTTTAGAGCATCTGGAGGTAAGGAAGAAAAGAGAATCATTTATATGCCGGCATAGACATTCATTGAGTGAGTCAGCATGGAACCTTGTGTATAGTGCATTTCATTTTAAGCTGTGGCTTGAAAAAATTACGGATTTCAAGTAAATTTATAGAATTAGACTAATAGTGTTAAGCCATTTGCCTGACAGAGCAAGTTATCGAGATAATAAGATATTCAAATCATTTTGGAATGATAATATTACTGAGGTCTCTGACCTGTGGAGCTTTATTATAGCGACGTTGCATTTGTGTGTATGTCTAGTGTTTCCAAGAAGTAAAAGAAATGTCATTAGCAGGCGATGGACTATGGGATTGAATTTGTCTTCCTGCTACACCTCAGACAAATATTTCCAGAAACACTATGCTGGTCTCACTCAACGACATATTCATTATCCTATGTCAAATGCTATTCTGAGAGTGTGTAGAGCTTCCATGATAAGAAATGGAAAGTCTAAGTGTAATCTGTGTTAAAAAAATTGTAACAAAGTAGTTCAATGAGATCAGAAGCAACAAAGTGTACAACAATGTGAATTTGAAAGAATATCGTATGTGTGCAGAGCAGGAAATGAGAGTTTTGTCTCAAATATAGGTTGATTTGGTTGGATTCTGTCGCCAAATTAATTTATTGAAATTCATAGGAACTGTTTATAAGAAAGCACCTAACTTTAAAGAGGAGGAAACAGCAAGGAAGGATATAGCTTAAGGTAAATTCTGTAACCATCTGCATCGGCAATGTTCAGATAAATAGGTGGTGTCCATGCTGCTTTCCCCAAGATGTTACAGAATTAATAGTTGCACTTACATTTTCTTAAGATGTCAAGGACAGTATTTTCTCACCAGAGTGCCATAACTGCATCTCTCCCCGTTGAAGCGCATGGGCTAGAGGAATTTAATCTTGATAGGAATAAGCAGTTTTTCATTTCAGCAGCTAAAGAATAGAAGCTGTAGAAAACTGCAAGAAATTTCACAGGCTGTTATTTTATTCTTTTGTTTAACATACACTTCACTAAGATAGAGTCTTAACAACACACTAAACAGAAATCTTTAGGAAGTCGTTTGGTTGTGTTTTTTAGAGCTTTGCATTCTGTCTTGAACTCTCAAATCTGTCACAAGTTTTTCTTCTGTTTATTTGAACTTTTTTCAGCATCTTGTACAAAAGCAAATCAAGCTTTTAGCAATTTTCAGTTAGTGTCTTTGCTTTCATTTTTAAGTCGCATTATTAAAAGTGTTTTGGCATAGACCGCCACTTTTGTCACTGCTGCTCATCTTATGAGTACTCTCAGAAGCTTTTCAAAAAAAAATAAAAAATCAGTTGCTGGAAATAAGAAACTTCTAAGGGGCACTGTAGTAGTCTTAATTTGATATAATCTGAGCAAGGTGGAAAGTATATTGCTTTCCTTCAGTCAGTAGCCATCTTAGTGAGTGTGAGCATGCCACAAATCTGTGAATGGTTTTGATTTATGTTCTCTAATCTTCCTGTTTCTGAATTTTCTAGAAAGTGCTGTAGGTAGGACTCTCTTTGACCTGACTCATATTCAGGAAAAGTACTCTTAATCTCTTTAAAGATGCATCTTTAAGTGTGATGGCAGAATGAGAGGAATTCATGAAAGCCTATTGAAAATGCGTGTCTTGAATGTCACTGTGCAAACATGTGTTATGTGTACACCAGCCTTTTTGTATAATAGCAACATCTGCTGTTGCTTGTCCTCTTCAGTGTTTCTTATGATTTCCAGTTTATATGATGTTTTTTAAGGATTATTTAATCACATTTCTGTGTTTCATGTATGACCAAGAATTTCTGAGCTTGTAATTCAGTGAAATAATTTTGATGATTTGGCAAACTACATTTGTAAAAATTTTTTTACCTTCTGCATTTTTGTCTAGTCCCCTCTTCCAAGCTTACCAGACTTGTATCTGAAAGATCACTAGGGAATGCTGGCAGTCTCCTGTATACATTTTCACCAGACAAAATAAACGTCTTATGGGGAATGTGCTTTTAACTTTCTGGTTGAGGAAAGGGCAAAACTATGATTTGTTTAAAAAACAAAACAAATGAAATGAGAAGTTGATTAACCTTCATGTCAGTTGATTAGGATAAAATCCAGATGTAATTCTGTTATCTCCTAAGAAAAGTATGAAGCTGTGTTATTGGTTGCAAACATCTTTTATTAATTGTTTTAAAAGGTGCTGCATTTTATGAATTTATTTTGTTAGAAGTCATGTTGCTAACTAGGATGTTGTTTGGCTTTCTGCAAAAAAATTTTACATGGGAAAATTTACTAATTGTATGTCACTTTTTATATCCAATGAAAAGGAAAAAGACATTCCAATCCTGTATCTTTTTAAAAAAATAAGAAATCTTCAGCAATTGCATAGAACTGTACGTATGCAACTGCTAGGCAAGCGTGTATTTCACTTTAGTAATGAACACATGTCTGATAAGTGGTATAGAGCAACAGCAGTCATGTAAAAGCATAAATTAATTTTAAGATCTGGACAGAGCTTCCCTGGAGACTCAGCCTAAAAGCAATTATTTCGATTAATTTACAGTTTTTGCCATATTTATTGGAGCTTACCTGCAGGTAAAAGGTTTGGCCACTTTTATGTCTGTCTTGTTCTTGTAACCTCCAAAGCTAGTAACAAAGCTTATATAAATAGATTTGTTTTCTTCAATAACACTCAGTTGTAAGTTAATGTTTTAAAAATACCAGTTTCCAAACACCTAATGTAAATTTTTTAAATACTGATTTGTAGTAGTGCATGAACTCCTCTACCATTAGAACTGGTTTTGTACTTAAATACAAGTTTTTAAAACATTTCACAAATATCTGTTTTCCTTCAAATAGCTATGTATTTTAATCTCTGATCATTCAAAGCATGAGGTCACTGGCATGATTGAGTGCTTGGAATTCACAGGTTTCTTTTACTCTTCGCTGGAGTTTCTGCACCTTTCAGTTGTCAGAGTGGGAAGAGATTGGAAGTAAAAAGAACAGCGATGTACAGATTAATGCCATGAATTGTAGGTGGCGCAGCTGCAGTAGAAGCAAAGAATTTGTTGGACCATAATGACAATGCTCATGTCCTCAATGAATGAGGAAAAAGTTGCACCTATGGATAATATGATTGAATAAAGGACTAAAAATTTAAAAATTTATCATTTCATATACAAGTGAAGCCTAATTTGCACAAAGTGTTCTAGCTGTGTATGGAGCCATACACAGAGGGGAGGTATCTTGAGTGGTGGTTTTGCTGCCCTTGCCCCACATCTCAGTCCTTTGAAATATGCCCAGCTTACATTGTTTGTGTTGCTCAGGTGGATCTTTAAGATGTAGCTATACTTGAGGTACTTCAGTTACATATTAATTCGTGTCTTGGTGGTTCTCAGGAAAATAGATTGTATCCATGGACTAAAATAATATGACTTTGTCATACTACATGTATTTTCTATATATAGGTGGAATAGCTTTCTTCTTCATTAACAGATACTTAGCCCACTTTTTGGTAAGCTGCTTGATAAACTGCTTATAGATTGAAATTTATTTGCAAGTGCCAAAAAGTGATTACAGGTTCATATTTTTTCCTGAGAAAAATCATTTCATAAACATACTCTGAGATATTGTCTGCTTAGAAAGTGTACAGTGGATGGGATCATGACCAGAGATCTGTTTAAGGTGTCGGCAATGTTTCCTTTGTACCGTACGCTCAGGTCTGCGGCTGGGCTTTGGCGCTGTGAGTCTTTTGACTCGTTAATGTAGTGCCCACACTCACAGGTTCTCTGGAAATAAAAATGGAGGGACAGAAGCTGCCACTCATCTCGGGAGTGTTTCATCTGCCTCTGTATCTGGGAATCAGTCTCTTAGTATCCCCTAAGAAGAGCCAGCCAACAGCTGTGCTGTTTTGCTGATGCTGGAGGCCAGCACAAGGGGAGGGGGAGGAGGAGGAGGAGGAGGATGAGGAGGAAAGCTTCCCTTGGGTCAGGAGTGGTGGGACTAGAGCAGAGGAGGGGGCAAAGGAAAGCTGTGGGTGCTTCTAACTCGACTTGAGGCTCTCAAGTGGCTCCCAGTGCCTTCAGGTACTACTGTCAGGTAAATGCCATTCTGTCCTTAAAGATGTTTGTCATTTGAGGGGAGGCTGTTAATCTCATGAAAATCATCATTATACTTCTGAGGTACGGTCTGACAATTTAGTACTTTTAGGGTTTTTTTCAGGAAATATGGTGGTAGTAGTGCCTTATGTATTTACAGATGCATGTAGCATGAACAGTTTTGGGATGAAAAGCAACCATATGTTTTCAAATAATAAATTCTGCATTCAGTTGGGCCTTCTTACTTGTAAAGAAAGAAATATTTGGAACCATGCAGTGTTTTATAGTCATGCAAAATATTAAACACTTTTTGATATGCTGCATACTGAGCTAAGTCATTAGAAAAAGAGCCTTTATCACAATTATTCAGCATATAATCTAAAATACTCAATTTTTTATCTGCTGTTTTCTTCAGCTGCAGATGTCTGTGCTTATATTAGTGAGTAGTATGAAGCAACAAGAGCAGATCAGGAAATTGCAGAATTTGGTAGTGACGCCACTATATCTACATTATCTGCATTTTGGAGTCCTTGCTTCAAAATAAATCTAATCCCCTTAACCAAACTTTCCCACTACCCATGGTCCAAAGCTGTTTGTCCTGGTTTCAGCTGGGATAGAGTTAACTGTCTTCCCAGTAGCTGGTACAGTGCTGTGTTTTGAGTTCAGGATGTGAAGAATGTTGATAACACTGATGTTTTCAGTTGTTGCTCAGTAGTGTTTAGACTAGAGTCAAGGATTTTTCAGCTTCTCGTGCCCAGCCAGGGCACCTGACCCAAACTGGCCAACAGTGTATTCCATACCATGGGACGTCCCATCTAGTTTAGGAACTGGGAAGTGGGGGGGGCAGGGAATCGCCGCTCGGGGACTGGCTGGGTGTCAGTCGGTGGGTGGTGAG